TGGAAAGAAAGGGACAAAAGGACCAATGTCCTAGAAGCAGCATTGACAAGGTCAATTGAATCTCATAAATATCTGTGAAAATGGGGGTAGTGTGGCTTATGACTGGAATAATTCTTCTTCGCAAGTATTTCAAGGGGGGAATGGAATAATCATTCATGTCAAGAAAATAACTCCATAGGAGTACATCTAAGAATTGGATGGCAGAAGAAGAATAGTGAATATGTGAGGATTAGTGAAGGGAGAAATGGAAGCAATATTCTGGTAGCAGCATGTTACAGACCTGGCCAGAAGGAGGAAAATAAAAGAGGAATTCAGAGAATAAGTCAGAAGCTTGGCACAGAGGTATGACATTTTAGTAATGGGAAACTTCAACTCTCCATAAATGTGTCAAAAGCAGCATAACTGATAGACTCTTAACTTGCCTTAATAATAATTTAATTCTTCAAAAGGTAGAAGATCCAAGCAGGGCAAAAGTATTAGTGACCTGATTCTAACCTACAAGCAGGGACTGATTGTCAGAGTAGAAGAGATTGGAATTAGGGGAGGAAGTGATTACTCCATCTTAAAGTTTGTGAGATAAAAGGAGAGCAAAGTATCCTGGCATAGGAAAGCGATTTGTGGTTGTTCAATTATTTCATTCATGTCTAACTCTTCCAAACCATTTAGTGTTTTCTTGGCAAGGATACTGGAGTGGTTTGCCATTTCCTCCTCCAGCTCATTTGCAGATGAGGAAACCAAGGCAGCAAACAGGGTTAAGTGACTTGCCCAGAGTCACACCGATAGTAAGTGTCTGAAGCCAGATTTGAACTCAGGAAGATGAGACTTTCTGACTGTAGGCCCAACACTCTATCTACTATACCACCTAATTGCCCCAGGAAATGCGTATAGAAAAAGAAATCAAATCCCCACATTGACCACGTCCAAAAAACGTGACTCATTCTGCATGTTGAGCCCCATCACCTCTCTGTCAGGAGGCAGGTGGTACATTTAAAAGAATGTTGATGCCTTCTGCTTTCACCCTACAGTCATTTCTGAAAACATGCCCTCATCTTCCTCACCTCCACCTGTTTCCTCACAATTGAGTTTTCCCTTGTAACAAAGGAAAGTTGGGCCAAAAATGGCAATACTTTTTAGGAAGGCCACTGACAAACGGGAGCATGTCCAAAATAGGCAACCAGGATTGTCAGAGAACTAGAGAGGATGGCATACAAAGATCAGTAAGAAGAACTGAGGACTTCTTTAGTTGAACCTAGAGAATGGAAGACTTAGGGGGACCCCATGACTTCTGTTAAATAGTAGAAGGGAAGTTTGAAGAGGAGGAATTAAAACTTCTACTTGACCCTAGAAAGTAGAACTAGGAATACAGGTGGAAGTTGCAGAAAGGCCTAACTTGGGCTCATTTTTAGAATAAACTAATTAATAAGAGACATCCCAAAACGGAACAGACTCCTCAGGGAGGTAGCAGGTTATGCTTCACTGGAAGGCGTAGACTGGATGGCTGCTTTTCTGGTACATTGTAGAGAAGATTCTTGTTCAAATCCAGATTCTGACCCTTTCAGCTTTGGGAGTCTCAGATTCTATAAAGTGGCATAGCAAGCTCTCTGTAGTCCAAGCCATACCAGACAGGATGGTAGAGGTCAAACTTACCAGAAATATCAGAGAATCTTTGAATGGCTTCCAGGTACACAACAGCTATAGGTTTGCTCCATCTTCCACATTTGTTAATAGGCAAAATGGTGGGGAATCCTGGAATTTATGACCTTGCTATAGTTACTTTACTCTTTACTCTCTCTTGAGGTCATACATCTAACTTCCTTATTCCCACTGGACATGTTTACAAACTCTTCTTCCTCTTAGCAACACCCAATAATCTCTATCTCTATTTTGGCCCTTCCCAGTTTGAAATGAATTGTGAAGAGAATTCTGGCCGTATAATTGGGCACAGATAACACTGTCTCACTGTGATGAATGTTATTGAATCATTTTTTGTAAAGGGGTATCCCACACCCAGGGATGTGCTGGACTCAGCCCAAGCTGGCTGGCAAGAGCTAATTGTTAAACTGATTAACAATTAAAGTGTAAGCATTTATACCTTACAAATGCTATCAATCAGGCTTTGAGTTATTGTTTTGATGATTGTCTAGACTTGAGAAAGTGATGGAGACAACGTTAATTATGCAGATTAATTTTTAAAATGTGCTACCTGTACTTTGGGAGCTGATTGTTCAACATTTACCAGCACACCCCTGACATCCCTTAACTAGAATTAATCTGACAAGATTAGCCTGAGACCTTTATCAGGTAAGATCACTGTTTGCTGAATTTTTAGAACCAATCTATCAAAGCTATAAATTAGGTGTGAACAAGGTCCTAATTACTTTAGGAGAAGCAGTCAATTGTCCTCTGTTGACCCAATTTGCCAGTGCAAGTGGGAGAGTGAACCCGGTAGAATGGTACATAGAAAAACTGCCCAGTATATGCTTTTTCTTCTTTTCCTGTTGAGATAGAAACTTTTTAAGAGTTCAAAATGGAAAATAGAACTAAGTTTTTACAGACTAGATTTTTCAGAGGTTCCCAAAGTGGGTGATACCATCCCCAAGGAGCGCTGGAACAATCCAGAGGGGCACTAGTAGCCTCGGGTGCAATTGGGGGGGCACTGAATAAAAAATAAGGGGGCCGTCAAAGCATAAGGAAAGAAGTCGATAAAAAAATTTGAAAAGCCATTTGTACATATTTCATCTGTTGTGTAACAGAGTTAAAGTCATAGTGATTACATTATTTTCCAAATAAAGACACAAAATGCAAGTTATAACCAATCAGTGCTCACGTCCACCAAAAGGTACCAAGCAAGCACTGTCAGGCAATCGTGTTGCGCATTGTTGGGAAGTCCAGCATGCATCAGCGGGAATATGTGCATGTAATGACTTGTTTGTAATATGATACTATGTGGTTACATGATGCAATATTGCATCATCAAAATTTCAACGCAGGAAAACCCCACAAATTTGCAATCAATTATTAAATTTGAGATGCGTCATTTTAAAAAAAAATTACATATTTTTGAAATGATTCAAATTTTAAAAAAACATATCTGTTAAAGGGTTAAAAAAAGTAAACTTCCAAGAGGGCACGGAGTACTTTTTTTTTTCTGAAACAGGGGCAGCAGGTCAAATAAGTTTGGGCACCTTTGGACTAATAGAAGTAGATTTTTCCTTAAACTTGAGATCAGTCTAATTCATAGGACCACAGAGCCAGATGGAACTTTAGAAGCCATGTGCTCCAATTCTATTATTTTACAGATGAAGAATTAAGAATCAGATGAATTGAGTGACTTGCCCAAGGTCACACCAGGAATGAGGAATGAAGCCAGAAATCAATCCCAGATCCTTGAACTCCAAATCTAGCACTCTTCCCACTAGCCCACATTGATCATCATCATTACATCTGCCATTCACTGGCATCCCAACAGAAAAGGAAAAATGGACTTCATCTCTGAAAGATTAGCTCTTATCTCAGAGGTATTACTAAGGAGAAAGCAGTCAAAGATCATGGTAATGTTTGAAAAACCAAACAAAAAAAGTATCTGAACAATTCTTCCAAGAGAAACTTTTTATTGGCATATAAGAACCTTACAAAGTAAATAGATGGTTACAAAGTGTTTTGAATTTTATTAACCTTTTGAGGAAACTAGATGAAACAATCTACAGGTAGTAGGGTTATAAACAGGGTATTTAGTTTTCTTCAAACTGCTACAAAGAATCATTACAGAATTCAGAGGGTTTGGCCCTCAATCCTGCAGCAACCAGGTGCAAAGACAAGAGTTCCCAAGCCTCTTACAGTTGTGGGACACAATCCCACAACACTACCATCAATGACTGCTTTCCTAACATTATCCTCCCCTTTCTTCTAAAAATTCTGATGCCTGCCTGGAACATGGGCTATTTAAATATTGAAAGCAAATGGAAACTACTTATTTTCTAAAGAAACATTCCCCACTACCACCAAAGACTTTTGTTATGCCTATTGAAATAATTGTTGGCTTCCTTGAGAAGTGGGACCCACATATGGGAGACACCCTTCATGAAAAATCCATGCCAAAGAATCCTGAAGTTTTTTGCACAACTGCAGGGAGAGTTTGCTATAAATTTGAATCTCATTAGGGTGGCTCTCAAAATTTATCTTCCTCTTAAAAGGTAATTTGCTACATGTATTCATTGCAAAGCATACATATCCCTACTGAAAGTTACAAATGGACAAAGTGCAAATCATAAAAACTGATTATCTCTCTAGAGGAAATGTTTCCCCACAGCTTTCCCCCAAAATTAATGCGTAAAAGTGACTGTGATGGCAAGAAGCCATTGGTGCAAATTTCCACACATTGAGCTAGACTGACATGTATCAGAGAACCCAAGGATAGTATTCATAGACCTTTATGAGTGCTAAGTTCATCATAAGTTTGATAATAAAAATCACAAAAGAAGTAAATGAAATCCCTATTAAAAGCACAAGAGGCAGTGTGATATGATAGAGGAACCAGCCTTGAAGTGAAGAAGATCCATGTTCAAAGCCTGCTTCTGATAAACACTCACTGGGACAATGGGGAAAATGCTTAACCCCTCAGTCCTCCAGGTAAGTATCAATTGACTATAAATAGGCTATAAATTGCCAATATGCATAAGTGGAGGGACTTCCCAACACTGATAAAATCATAGTTCTAGATTTAAAAAAATTAAAGCATTTATTTCTTCATTATTGTTGTTCAGTCATTTTCAGTCAGTTGTGATCCCATTTGGGGTTTTCTTGGCAAAGATACTGGAGTGATTTGCCATTTCCTTCTGTAGCTCATTTTACAGATGAGGAAACTGAGGCAAACAGGGTTTAGTGACTTGTCCAGGGTCACAGAGCTAGTAAGTATCTAAGGCCAGATTTGAGCCCAGGAAGATGAGTCTTCCTATCTCTAGGCCTGGCACTTATTCCTCTGCACCACCTAGTTGCCCTCACTTATCCACTCTGAAGTGGAATAATCATCCTATACCTTTTGGTCAAGGTAGCAAGAGCTACTGGGAAAAAAATACTGATTATAGAGTCAGGCCATCTTTGCTTGAGACCTAGTCCTGACAATGTATGGCCCTGGCTGAGTCACCTGATTTCTTAGGGCCTAGGTTTCCTCATCTACAACATGAGGACATTGGTCTTAATGACTTGTAAGGTCCTTTGCTAGCTCCAATATCCTATCACTCTACTGACAATTTATGAAATATTCTTAAAATGATTATTATGCGTCTTGATTTTGATAACATCTATGTAATTTAATGGCATGTAACCTGATTTTTTTTCTTTTTCTTTTTTTCTTTCTGGAATACCACAAGATAGTATACATAGAAAAATGTCAGTCTGTCAAACAGTTTTTTAAAATCATGATTATTTTTTTTCCCTTTTCAGAATAAACCTTCGAGCTTTCACTTTGGTTGGATTTTTGTTTTCAGCTAGACAATCCAGCTCGGATTTGTTCTGCAGACTATAAATAAGGAGGACCAACTGTCCTTTGAGTTGAGGCTTATAAGTGCAAAGTGAACTTTCATTGCCAAATATGAACTTTTCCCCAATACAAAGTGACAAGAACAAGGTCATATTGCCTTCTTTTCACTCCCCACCCCAAAATAAAGTGTAAGCTCCCTGAGAGATGGGATTGCTCATTGTGTTGTCTTTCTGTTCCCAAAATCTGGCATAGTACCTGACATATAGTAGACAGCCTATTAAAAATGCTTGTTGAAAGTAAAACCAAAAGCCAAAATTACAAATACAAAGGTGACAGGTGATGGCAAGAAATTCACAAGCCCAATGGGTTACTGGGTCTGAGAATAAGTTTAATTGGCTACAACATTTCTTAAGACTTTTCAGCTTTCCCTCATTAAGATACCTACATTTATAACATAATTAACACATGTGGGCCTCAAATTGTTGCAATGACTGTCTCTGTTAATGAGCTTGCTGTTTTGTTCAGCCTGGCTGTGGATGATTGATGAACTCCTAGGAGATAGTGAAGCTGGGATATTAATGAATGATGAAAACTGGCATTACTGTAAACATTTGCATTATTCTCTTTAAGAGAGAGAGAGAGAGAGAGAGAGAGAGAGAGAGAGAGAGAAGAGAGAGAGAGAGAGAGAGAGAGAGAGAGAGAGATGCTCTGAAGTGCTCCAGAAGGCAATGTCACCTAAATGTAGAGAATGGATTGTGAAACCTGATCACAGTGTTTTCCCAGCCATAAATATAACTCCCACCTTTGTCCATCTGTCTCCCTCTTCTTTTCTATTCACCCCCCCCAAATAAGGACACTCCATTATTTTTGAAATTCCTATGAAAACTGAAGCAATCATTTGCACAGAACAGTTCGCCTTGCCAGCAAGAGCTGCTGCTTGACTACTGTAACTAAGGCTTTCCTTTTGCTTTCACTTTTTGGTTTAAGGAATCTTCTTCTATTATTTTTCTTGTAGATACTTATGTGTAGACCGTAAATGAATCCCCTAATAATTCTTGGCTGACTGTTTTCAGAGAGAAGCTGTCTGGCTAATTACCCTTGGCTAGATTTCTTACTGGTGCTCTGAATAGCTCTCCTGGTTACTTAAGATTTTGTCTTTCATGCTTGGAACATTTTCACATATCCACTGGTACTTGTCATCCCACCAGCGTCGTTAAGCCTTTGGTGTTCTGAATCTTTGGGTATCTGCATTTAGGCAAGGGGGTTATTTTCTTTCTCCTGCTCTAGAGAAATGAAACTCTGCCCAGCAGATTCCATTTTGGTATGGTCATCACCCAAAACACAATCTTCTTCCGTTAAGAGCTTACTCTTAAGCAAAAAGGCAGATGTGCTCTCCATCTCAGTTCCTGCTGGGATGGCCTGGAGCTGGGCTCTTTCTATTTCTTGCAACATGGTTGTGCCCTCTCTATACATACTTTCACTCGGTTCCATTGTTGGCAGCTGATCACTTTGGGGCACTTGACAATTGTCTGCTTCAGTATACCAGACACTGCTAGTGGCTTCTGGCTCTGTTTCCTCTTCTCTGTGTTTTCCTGAGAGTTTAATACAAGCTGGCTGAGGACCATAGCTGCCTGCTTCTGGAAACTGCATCAAACTTGTACCACTGGTCTCTTGACTGGAAGACAGGCTGGCACTGATCTCACCCAAAGTGCACATTTCCCAATGGAATATGGATGTTGGTTTGGCCTCTTTATTCACTTGGGTTTCTTCTTCCTTTTCCCCTTTCCCACTTTCTTCCCCCTGCTGGTTCCCATCATTCCTCGCAGCTTCTCCTCCTTCCTCCTGGGCAGCATCTGTTGGCACCTCGACAGTCACTGTCAACAAGTTTCTGATCTCACTCAAGGAGTCTGGGGCAAGAGTTTTTTCCCCAGACTGGTTTACATTCTCAGCAATTCCTCCAAACTCCATTCTAAGTGTGTTTGTGTTCAGGAGATCTGCTTTTTCCTCTTGTGCTGAATCAGCTTGGTCAAACATCCTAGCAATAATCACTTTCTCACTGGCATTTAGAGAAGGGCTAGACAGCAGGAAAGACATGCTTTCCTCTCTGGCAGAGGGATATATGCACTCAGGTTGGGCCTCTGGGCTCTTCTCCTCTGACGTGAAGAACACTTCATTACTTGATGTTTCGTGGTCTGAAATTGCCTGCAGGCCTGTCAATGATTTCTTGGCAGGACTGGCCTGGTTGGACCCAGAGGGGGTTTTTAGATCAGTTAAGCTGGACACACTTTCACAAGGCAAGGCCATATTGTCCTCAAAAAGATTGTGCTTCTTGAGAACAGCAGCTTCCTTTATCACTGTGTAGGACCAGAAAGTGAAATAAAAAATTTACATCCTACTTTGAGCAGGCTGGACATTATATTTTCTGCCAGAACCCCAAGTACCCTTCCAACCAAATCCCACACACCGTTCTAGGTCCATCTCAAGTCCTACCTCCTGCATGAAACTTAGATGGATCACACTAATCAGAAATGCTTTTGCATTCCTTAGAATCCCTTCAGCCCTTAATATGGGCATAATTCATCTGGGCTTTTGTGTCACTGGGGTGTAGGGTCTAAATCTAGAAAGAGCCTTTCATCTTGTCTAGTCCTCTTATTTTACATAATAATTTACTTCTTCAAGCTTGTAACCTTTTATAGGGAGTCTTTCCTGATCCTCCTTAATGCTGGTGCCTTTCCTCTATTGATTATCTCCAATTTTCCTGGCTATGTCTCATTTGTACATAACTGTTTGCATGCTGTCCCTCCTTGTCCCCATTAGACTGTGAGTTCCTTGGGGGCAGAAGCTGTCTTTTGCCATTCTTTGTCTCTCCAGTATTTAGCACCATGTACTTTGTATCCCCTTTGCATGACATGTAGTAGGAAACTAATAAATGCTTATTGACTGGCTAATTAACTGTTACACAGTGATATTATTTAATTGTAGATGTATGCATGTCACATTCCCCCAACTAGTTGGATAAGCTCCCAGATGGCAGAGACTGGTTTTGTACTTCTTTTCTATCTTCCTTGAAGTGCCTACCACAAGGGTAATCACATAGTACATTTCCTTTTTTCTTTGTTTTGTTTTTAGGCAGTCGGGGTTAAGTGACTTGCCCAGGGTCACACAGCTACTTAGTGTCTGAAGCCACATTTGAATTCAGGTTCTCTTGACTTTAAGGCTGGTGCCCTATCCACTACACCACCCAGCTGCCCCACATAGTACATTTCCAATAAATACGGTTGGCATCCATTATGAGGTTTGAGAGTTCTGCTCAGATCCTCCCTTTCATTTTTCTTTCCTCCTGAACAACCCGAGCACATAAAGGATAAGAAAAACTCTTCCAGCTCTCCAGGGTTTTCACAGTGAAAGTTCTGATCAGAACAAACTCTAAGCCCCAGTGGTCCTGGTTTGTTCTACAAGGGACACAAGGCGTTTTGGCAGATAGATCCCTTTTGTCGAGAAGTAATGTGATACCCAAGAGCCATCTTTATAATGGCCAGGCACATTGTAGTCATAGCAGGTTTTCTAGATAGCCCACACGTTATACTTCTCTACCCTCATCCCTATCCTTAGCATGACCTAGGGTACTAAATAGTCAGTAAGGATGACCTTTAGGGCACTGGGTCATTGTCTTTCATTTTTTGCTCTGGTATAAGTGAGTAGGCCTGTGGTATGGTGGAAAGAACACTGAATTTGGAGTCAGGGAGCCTGGGTTCAAATTTCATTTCTGTCACTCACCACCTGTGTTACTGTGGCAAGCCATTTAACTCTGTAGGTCTCGGTCTCCTCATCTGTTAAATGAGGACACTGCACTAGATTGGCCTCTACGAAGGCAACTTGGTGTGTGAATAAAATATTGGACTCAGAGTCAGGAAGACCTGAGTTTGAATCCTTCCTCAGAACTTACTAGCTGGCTACCGCTGGGTGGGGCACTTAACCTCTCTCACATTTAGCTTCCTCATAGAGATAATAATAGCACCTAGCTCCCAGAGTTGTGAGAATCAAGTTTAAGAAAATATGTGATGACTCTGCAAATATTAAGGTGCTTTATTAATGTTAGTTACTTATCTAAGGTCCCTTCCAGGGTGAAATCTATGATGCTATGAAAATGGTGGCTGGCACTGATACAGAGCTTTATGATTGACAAAGAACTTTATGTCCATTAAATATCTGATCTTCTGAGACACATAGCTTGACTATACATATCTCTAAGCCCTGCCTGGGTAAAGCAAGGGGGGAAGAATGTTTTTAACCTTTACGATGAGTGTAAGCAGCTCTTTCCATTGGAAAGAAGGCCCTTCTTCCCCTGTCTGAACTGCACTAACAGTGAGGCTCGTGCCTGATGAAGGGAGACTCATTCATCAAATGAGAAGGGAAAAAAGGTCTGAGCATCTGCCTTTATTTGGGGTCACCCAGATACTTTAAATGGGCAGGTGACTGGAAGAAAGTTAATCTGTTAGCTCCTCCTCTCATGCTCTCATTTCTTTCTTCCTTTCTTTATGCTCTCTCTTCCTCTAGGAAACCCATATATATCTTTCCTTTTCCTTTTCTATATCTGTTGGTAACAGACTTAAGTTGACCCCTTTCATCCTGTTTTGGATTTCCCCCTCCCTGATTGGAGTCCTCACCTCTGAGCACATCTAAGACCAAGAAATTCCCCTTACCTTTTACTGTTTCATCAAGCAGGGTTTGATACAAAATCTCCTCATAGACATTTTCAACCTGGATCACATTGGTGTGATCTGCAAAGATGAACTGCTCATATTTCTGAAGCTCCTAGACAGTAAAAAAGAAAGGGTGAAGAGGAAAAAGGTATGAGGTGATGGTTATTTCAGGAGACGTCATAAAGGGGAGTTACCATATGTAATCTCTCCATATGTAAGCTCCTTGAGGGCAAGAATGGAGTTGGGTTTTTTGCCTTAGTAATCCCAGTGCCTAGAAGTACCTTGCAGTCCACCCACAAGCATTTTTAAAGTACTCACTATGTACCAGGCACTGTGAATAGAGTAGGTATTTAATAAATGCTGGTTTAATGGAACTAAATGGAGGACAAGGTAATATTGATCAACTAGATTAGGAGTCAGAAGACTGGAATGCAAATCCTGGACTCTACTACTAGCTATGTGATCTTGAGCTCTTCACTTCATCATGCCGGGCCCCTCAGTTTCCTCATCTGTAAAAAAGAGGGGAGTTAGGTAAGATGGCCTCCAAGGCTCCTTTTGTTTGTAAAGCTATGATCCAATGGACAAACCATTGGCTCTGGTTTGGATCTGTAGGACGTAGAATTGTTTGTAGTTCATACGTCTAAAGCTAGACAGAACTTTAAAGGCCATCTGGTCCAACCTGAGCCCCAGGGAAGTGAAAGGAATTGCTCAAGGTCACACAGTAGCAGAGGACATGCAGAGCATGGATTCGAATTCAGGTTCTTTTGACTCCACATCCCCAGATGTCTTTCTACAAGTCCCACATGGCCTTCCTCAATGACAGCTACCATCAAATATTTGGAGAGTTTTTATGTGGAAGGCAAATGTGACTCGTTTCTGCGTAGTTCCAGAATGCAGGATTAGGAACAGTGAAAGGAAGTAACAGAAAGACACATTTAGATTTGATGTAAAGAAAAACCTTCTAACAACTAGCGGCATTCAAAGGTAGAATGAAGTGACCCAAGAAAAGTAGCCGACTCCCTCTCAATAGAACTGAAAGTGAAGGCTTCTCAGGGATGCCAGAAGGATGATTCCTGGGCAGGTACAGGTTGGCCAAGATGATCTCAGAGGTCCTTTCCAAATCTGAGATTCTGTGATTCCACCTAAAGAGCCCAGACTGAATGTGGAAAAGCTACAGGCAACGTGGTACTAGAGATAAGAGCACTAGATATGGTATGAAAGGACCTGAATTCCAATCATGCCTCTGACCTTTGACAAGTCACATCATCTCTGGTCCTCTGTAAATTGAGGAAGTTGGACTCCATGGCCCTTAGGTCCCTTCCAGCTCTACATCCATGATCATATACTCAGTTCCACACTCAGCTCCCATTATCTGGGATGCTGGTAGGGAGGAGAAAAAAGGAGCAGACGGTTTATTTTCTTGGGTAAAATATCCGCTGTACAGAACTAGGTTTTGAAGACGAGCCTTTCGGACAGCTTCATCCAACTACATTTACATCAAGGCATTGCATGTACTAGTTAGAGATACTTTTGAAAAGCATGACAGGAAGTAGGTTACAGGGTATATATACCTAAAAAGTCTCTGTAGTATAGCCAGGGGATCTGCATATCACAAGGGATCTATGTCTCTTCTATAATGTCAAGAATGATACCCAGAGGCATAGAAGCTGCTTCCACATAGCCTTGATTTTCTATGGGCTCCTGCAGAAATGCTTTCAGTACCCAACTAGCATTCTGATTCCCCCTACAGAGGAATAAGGAGGTAGAACTCACCCAGCAGAAAGGGAAAAGTGAGATAAAACATCTCACTGAGTGTCTATCATGAAAGCAAAGCAGTAGACAGTAACTATTTCCAAATGACTCCACTGTATACTTTTCACCTCCTAAGAGATCCTGAGCTCTTTCGATCAGTAAGTAAACACAGATTAAGGATCTACCCAGAGCCAGGCACTATGCTAGATGCTAGGCATACAAATGCAATGAATGAAAAAAAAAACTCTATTCACAAAGAGCTGAGAGAAGACAAAAGACAATTTACAGGCACAGAGGGGACACAGAGTTTCCTAGATATGAGTGCTAAGACTAGGGCATGAGGAGGAGTCAATTAAGCCGAAGGAAGCTGGAGATTTGGGGATGCTATCCAAGAATCTGGAAACTCTGCTGTAGGTTTTACCAAAACACATACTATGAATTCTATTCCCTCCCCCAAGAGTAAAAAGTAAACACTTATTGATTACCCATTACCCACTGAGTACTGCTTTCCTCTGAAGGCATTCCTGAAAATCTTTCAATCTCTGCCTATCCTACTAGGCCAGTGGCAGAAGCAAGCAGCATCATTTTTTCCTCCTGAGCATCTGGTTAGGAGGCCATATCTCTTCTCTCTCCTTTTTTGGGGGGAATGGATGAGGAGTGGGGCAGAAGTGTGGGAGGTGGGGAGCACTGAAAATTAAGGTTACCACCAAGCCTCTCCCCCTCTTGTTTACCAGTGACACACATCCCTTTCATTCACCATGCTCATTCTCTTTCTGTGCTATGCATATCAAGTAAACCCAGTATGGCCCAAGAGAGGCACTGATTTCTAATCCAATTGTATCTTCTTTGTAGGGCTCTGTGTGTGTGTGTGTGTGTGTGTGTGTGGTGTGTGTGTGTGTGTGTACTCTTAGGCTTGTTAAAATTAATGTTTTCCATGCGCTTGCTAAGCCTTATTAAATACCCCCTAGCCATCTCAAAAAAATTCATGTTGGTTTATTGGCCAATGTAAAAGACGCCAGAAGTATCTGACTGGGAAGAAGTATTAAATTATACCTCCAGAATCTCTTCCTGGGTCCAAGAATCCCATGAAATTATCAAACACCTTGCTGGATACTTTCCAGCCTTATTCTACATTATTTCCATTCCTATACTCTAGGGTCAAGTCCCACTGGCTTCTATACGGTTCCTCAAACACGACACTTCATTCCCCATTTTCTTGCTTCTGCACATACCTGGAATGCAGTCAGTCCTTCCTTACCTAGACTGTTCAGATTCCCTAGTTTCCTGAAAGCTCAGTTCAAACCTTGCCTAACCTGCCCCACCCCCTAGCAGCAAGAGCCCTCAAGGCCTTCTACAGGAAGCCTTTCCCCACCCCTCTTAATCCTAGTGACCCCCTCTGTTGATTATTTCCAATTTATCTTGTAAATAGCTTGTTTGCACATACTTATTTACTTGTCTCCTATTTGATTGTGAGCTCTCTGAGGGCAGGGATTGTCTTTTGCCTTTCTTTATTTCTCCTGTGCTTAGCAAAGTGCCTGGCACAGAGTGGATACATAATAAAGGTTTATTGACTGACCGACCTTGCATATACCAATCTCCTTGTATTTATTATGGACATACCTATATATCTTCACATTGTCTCCTCCAATAGGACATAAACTCATCACCAGCAAGGGGTGTTTTGCTTTTATCTTTGTATGCCCCAGCACACAGCACAGCACCCGGCACAGAGGTAGTGCTATTGAGGAGCATGTGGTACAGTGGATGGAGCACTGGCCCTCAGGTCAGGAAGATCTGAGTTCAAATCTGGCCTCAGACACTTAGTAGTTGTGTGACCCTGGGCAAGTCACTTGACCCAGATTGCCTCCCCACAAAAAATAATAATAAATGCTTATTGACAGATGGATAAAATTCAAACACACTGGACATACAAAATTCCCTTGGATCTCGATTCTGATCAAAAAGGAAATAAGGCCAGTGTGTACAACTTGTTCTTAATGAACCCATACTGGTTTCATAGTGAAAACCACCTTTTTTTGTTTGTTTAAATATACACACCTGAGTTCCACTGAGGGATTAGGGACTTTGACCAGTGATTCCTTACCACAAGAAACTCCCAGCTGAGGAAACAGCCTCTACCAAGGCAGGTCAGCATCAGCTTTGTAAAGTTTAGTTTTAGAAAGGAGACTGGGGGCTCTGAGAGATTAAATAACTCCTCCAGGTTTACAGAGCCAGTATGCTTCAGAGGCAGGCCTGGAGCAGGCCTGCTGCTCAAGTTCCATTAAGCAAAAGTAAGTACAATAGAGACACTCACTGCCTGAGGGACTGGAATATATACATAGTCTAGATATAGACCTATCAGGGATCTTCACTGAACTTGGCTGATTCTTTAAGACAGCAGATTTCCTTCCATGTTGTGTTCAGCAGGTATACTAGAAAGAGCCCTTGGCTTGGATTCAAAGGTCCTGGGTTAGAATCCTGGCTCTGACACTCACCATTTGTGTAACCTTGGTCAAGTCTATCCCATTCTGGGTCTCAGTTTCCTCACTTTAAAATAAGGAGGTTGGGCAAAAGGATGTCTAAAGTCCCTTTTAGCTCCAAAACTATATGAAATATGATCTATGATCAACTGAGATGATCCAAAGGCAGTTTCATTTCAAATGGCAGGAAAAATATATTGCTTTTTGATTGAGGTAATGAATGAGTAGGGGAAGGAAGAGAGGGATTCGATCCATCATTGTTTTACCTTAGACAATTGGCCTAACCTTCCCAAGAAAGTTGATGAAGGACGTACTATGCCATTATTAGGTGTTTGTATTGTCCTAGGCATGTGTGCCCCATGACAGTGAATGCTAGATGCTATACTAGGTGCTCTCTAATAAATGCATAAGGGAAAATAGGGGGTTGGGTCAGGAACTCTGTGTGATCTGAGTTCCTCACTGGGAATAAGTGAGCTCTGCAGGGAATGCCTACTACAGCGAGGGAGATTCCCTGGTCATGATTTATTAAGGTATGCCTTCCCTCTGGCCTGGTCTGACCTTGCTTCACTGTCATTCTTTGTCCATCCTTCCACAACGAAGAGTCCCTTAAATCCCTCAGCTTTCCAAGAGTTTCCAGCATGTGAAAGTTCAGGATCAAAATGTACCAAACATATCTCTAATGCTCAGCTTGATAAACCTTGCAATTGCTCATGCGGGGGGGGGGGGGGGGGGGGGGGGGGGTAAAGTTTTGCCATAGATTGAGATAGAAACATCTGGCTTAGGGAGTCATTCAGCAATAGGCTATGAAGACATTTGCCTAGAGGTCACTGGTTTACAACAGGTGATCACCACTCAACAGCTGTTCTGTGGAATGACTTGGTGGCTTTCATCCAGTATCTTGCTAATAGCTGAACAGTTTGCAGCTGGCAATAATGGATTCTTTCTTTTATTTTTTTAAAGCAACCTCAGAAGAAAGCCAAAGCACATATGTGAGACTCTTCCTCCCACACTCTAATGGTGACTATAAATGAGAGTCTGCATTGATACAGTGGATAGGGAGTTGACTTTAGAGTAGGGAACGCCTGTATTATGTCTGGCCTCTGACACATATTGGCTATGTCACTGGAGCTCACTTCAACCTTCAGTCGAGTGACCATTCCCACTAGATCCTACATCCTAATTAACACCTTGACAAAGTCACCTACAGTGGGTGCCTACACTTTCTCTCCTCTTACTAACTTCTAAACTCTATGCATTTATCTTCTGACCTCAGCATTAAACTGGAAATGCCCTTACTAAAGTTACCAATGATTTTCTAATTTCCACATCAAATGGCTTTTTCTCAGTCCTCATCCTTCTTGACTCTCTGTAAGCTCTGACACTTGACCACTTTTTCTTTTTGAATACTCTCTCCTCTCTAGTCCTGTGATACTGTTCTTTCTAGGTTCTCTCTCTCTGTCCGATTGTTCCTTCTCAATCTCTTTTTGCTAGCTCTTACATCCATATTATGACCATTAACTAGAGGTGTCCCCCCAAGCTCTTTTCTGGCCCCTCTTCTCTTCTCCCCCTATGTACTGTCTACTTGTGATCTCATCAGCTCCTCTGGGTTTAATTATCATGTCTCTTCAGATAATTCCCAGATTCATATAGTCAACCCTTGTTTCTCTCTGGATATATAATCCCATATCACTGAATGTCTTTTTGACATCTAGAACTGGATGTCTCATAGGCATCTCAAACTCAACTTGTCCAAACAGAACTCGTTATTATCCTCCCCAAACTCCCCTCTCTTCCTAAATTTCCTACTACTGTTGAGGTCACCACCGAATTTTCCCAGTCACCCATAACCCTGGTATCATCCTTGACTCTTCATTCTCACTTACCCCACATATCTAATCAATTGCCATATCTTGTTTCCACCTTCACAGTATCATTCCCCTGTATTCCTTCTGCTCTCTACCCACACAGCTACCACATTAATACAGGCCCTCATCATCACCTTGCACCTAGAGTATTGCAGCAGCCTCCTAAATGGTCTCACTGCCTCAAATCTTTGCCAACTCCAACCTGTCATCCACTTAGCTTAGCTGCCAAAGTGATTGTCCTCAATCACAGATCTGATGTTATTGTCCAACCCCCTAAAACTCCAGCAGTTTCCTGTTATTTCTACATCAATTATAACTCCTCTGTTTAATACACAAAGCCATTCACAACTTGGCCCCTTCTTACCTTTCCAGGCTTCCTACTCCTTATACTCCTCCATTCAGTCATCATTCCAGCAACACTGGCCCACTTGCAGTTCCTCCTACATGACATGGCTTCAACTCTGTGCTTTATGTAGTCTGTCCCCCATTCCTGGAGTGCTCTGACCCTTCACCTCTGCTTCTCAACGTTGCTGGCTTCCTTCAAGATTCAAATCTCACATTTATCTAGAGGCCTTTTCCAGGCTTTATCACTACTAGTACCTTCCTTCTGAGATTACCTTCTATCTACTCTGTATGTATTGGGCATATATGTATTTCCATGTTGTCTCCTCCATTAGAAGGTGAGCACCTTGAGGGGCAGTATCCATGTTTTTGCCTTTCTTTCCCTAGCACTTAGCACAGTTCCTGGTTCCTAGTAAGCTCTTAATAAATCCTTGTTGGCTGACAACCTGTCATTGCCCCTAGGAAACTTTCTAAGACTCTAAGTTGCAGAAAAGGTATCAACTTATCATGGTAGAGGGAATTCCTCACTGGCGATAAGTTTTGGGAAGAAAAATGACCCCCTCCAAATGCAAAGAGATTTTTTTATGATAATAATATGCACGTGAAGAGTATTAATGATTCAGTAAAAAAATCCTCTAACCCATAAATTCTAACTTTATAGATTTATGAAACTCTTAAAAACTTGTTTGTTTTGAGATGAAAAAGTGACACCCTCAACTCCTTATTCCCATATGTTTTGTGCCATAGTATTTTATTCCCACATACTTACCTGTGTAAACAAATGACTTCTGGGTCATCACAGCCCACACAGAATGGTATAAACAACCCAATGATACCAAAGAGATTAGGGCTCTCAATGGATGCCAAATTGTTCCTTGTAGGCATCAGTCTTTTCCTCCCATTGACTTGACTGTGAAAAAAATTATCTTGGACTCTACTATAACCCTGACAATGGAGGACAGAGAAAACTATTATGGATGCCCCTTGTTATATAAAATTTTTTTAAACTACATATGTTTGTCATATTTGGAGGAGACATGATTTGACATGTTATCTCAAATCTGTAAGAACAAAAACACGACAGCAAAGTCCAATGGTGCTGAGCATCCAGATAGAGTACACTCCAAATGAAGAAGTTGGGAATAACCATTTTCATTGTCTTTGCAACTAGGTCCTTGTCTACATGGAACTTAGTAATTGCAACTAGGTCCTTGTCTACATGGAACTTAGTAATTTAATAGCCAGAAGTTATCTAGAACCTGCTGTGTGCCAGACACTGTGCTAAAATGCTGATCCTCGAAACAGCCTTGGGGGGTAGGTGCCATTATTACCACTGTCATTTTACAGTAGAGGAAACTGAAGAAAGAGAGGGTAAGTGGCTTTCTCAAGGTCACATAGCTAGTATGTATCTGAAGCTGGATTTGAACTCAGTGTTCCTGACTTCAAGCCCAGCATCCTACCTATTGTAGCATCAAGCTGCCTGTAAACTTCAGTTTAACAAATATTGGTTGGATTGATGCAGGCTGGCCCACCAAGCCTGGAACGCACTCCCTCCTCACCCCTGCCTTTTAGAATTCCTACCTTCCTTCTATGTACTATTGATGTCCCACCTCCTACAGAAAGCCTTTCCTCATCTCTCCAGTTCAATCTCTCCTTCCTCTTCAAATTATCATACATATACTTCTCTATTTATATGTTGTATTTCCCCCACCCTCTTTCTCCTCCCTCCCACAATAAAATGGAAGTTCTAGGAAAGCAAGGTCCATCTTTTGGTTTGGTTTTATCTTTGGATGTCCAGTGCCTTGACCACAGCACATGCTTAATAAGTGGTTGTTGAACTTCAGTATACTGGAATCTAATGGAACACAAACCTGGGCTCTTTAAGAGTAATATATTCGATGCTTAATATGAATGTATAAGTAGAGCCTATATCAGATTGCACGCCGTCTTGGGTCGGGGAGAGAGGAGTGGGAAGGGGAGAAAATTTAAAACTCAAAATCTTATGAAGTGAATGTTGAAAACTAAAAATAAATAAATTAATTATCAAAAAAAGAGTAATATATTCAGCCTCTTACTGGTTTGCACGTTGATGCCAATGCCTTTTGCATTGTGGGCAGTGTGATCTGAACCAGCGTTTCCTGAAATAGCATCTTCCGGATGGTGCTGCTATCATAATCATATTGCTGTCAATACAAAGACAGAAACATATGCTAAATAATAACACCACAATCTGGTGAAACTTTTCTTAAAGAAACAACAGCCCACAACAACAAAACACCCAACAACCCACATCATCTCACTTTCTAATTTTTGGCATGGTATTTATTTTCTAAGTATTGCAGAGACTCTTCCCAGGTAACTCCCAAATCTATTTGGAAAAGTGATTAATAATAATGATGATGATAACAATAAGAACATTGTGGAACCTGTGTAATGTATCATCGTAGGTCACAAAGATTTAGCAACTGCTCAATGCCTAGAAGGATAAAATCAAGTGACTAGGATTACATACCAAAATATCAGTTTCCTTTATAAAATAGCATGATAGATCCCAGTACTACAAATGTAAACACCAAATTATGATTGAAAATCCAATAAATCAATTTGGTTGGAATTGGAGCATAAGACATAACCATGATCTACAGCTGCCTTGACATTATATAGATAAATAAAAATTCAAGAATGTTTTCAATAGACACTATTATATCACATAGTCCTAATATCAAACCTCCATGGAATAATTAGTCTAGTATGTATTACACAGCACTTTAAGGTATTCAAAGTACTTTACAAATATTATCTCATTTTATCCTCACAACAACTTAGAGAAGTAGGTGCTATTATCATCCCCATTCTACTGATAAGGAAACAGAGGCAGATAGAGGTTAAGTGACTTGCTCAGGGTCACACAGTTAGTAAATGTCTGAGGTCACATTTGAACTCCTTATTCCAGCTCTAACATTCTATCCATTGTGAGACCTAGTTAGCTCTGAAAGAAAAGCTTTCAAAAATGAAGACCTAGCAGGAAAAAATGTAAACCACTTGGGAACAGAAGGATGTATTTGCCATCTCTTTTGTTCCGTCTGATACCACAATTGTCTTAAAAATGCTTTTAATGAGTTTACAGAAGAAGAATTTACATCTCAATGTTTTATTCAATTACAAGAAGCAGACATTTTGTATACTTGTGCAAGCGTTCACAAAACGTTAACTATAAAAGGAGCAGGCTAGCAACTTGTCCTTGGGCTTTATAGGAACTCCATAAAAAAAAGATAAGGAGACTCTAACAGCAATAGCAGCAACAACAATGGTGATGATGATAAAAGCAATAACTGACATTTCTGTAGTTCTATATAGGGATAAAATATTTTATATTCATCATCTCATTTGATTCTCAACAAATATCTGAGGTAAGTAAGGCAAATGTCACTGTTCCAATTTTATGAATAGGTAAATGGAGACTTGAGAGGCTATGGGAATTGCCTGTGTTGAGTCACACAACTGGTAAGTCAAGGACTTTTTTTTTTTGTGAGGCAATTGGGGTTAAGTGACTTGCCCAGAGTCACACAGCCAGGAAGTATTATGTGTCTGAAGTCACATTTGAACTCAGGTCCTCCTGACTCCAGGGCTAGTGCTCTCTCCATTACTCCACCCAGCTGCCCCATCAAGGACTCTTTCTGCTAGATGCTGCTGACTCTATCTAACAGGAAGGAAACCCAAGCCTGACAAAATGAAGCTGCCTTCTCCACATTCTAAGTGAATTTGGGGACAGGACTGGATCTTTGAGTTTATGTCTAGTAACTTCCCGTCTCAAACTCAGATCTATTTTTTTCACACAATAACCTACATTCACTGCACTTAGGGCGTGTCTTAGAAGAACCTCTCTCCTGTAAGAGAGGATATGGACAGAACCTTTGTTCTGATACTGATGTTGCCTAGTTGGTAAAGAATGAGCTGGCCTTGCCCTGAGCACCCTGTGGGCCTAGAGACACCATAGTAAGGGTGATCCATTCTTTGCTTGGTATACAGCTGACCTATGATTAAATGATTACCTAGAAAGATCTGATTCATGCCTAATCTCCTGACTTACATATTTTCCCTACGGGGCAGTGGAGAACACTGGTTTAGGTACCAGGAAATCTGGGTTCTAGGTATGAATTCTAGGTAGTTGTATAACAATGGACAATTTCCTTATCCTCTCTGGCACTCAGTTTTCTCATCTGTTAAATTAAAGGGTTGGAGTAGATGATCTTCAAAGTCCCTTACTGCTCTCATTTTTAGGATTCCAAAGTTGCTATCATTCGTTCTGTATCTTTCAGCCCTATAATGGTTTTGATGCTTTTTTTTATTAAAATAAAGCAACGTTACTTTTAATGCCAACGTTTTGGCCTCCAGTGTCTGCTCCTGCCAATGTGGCTTTACATTTCAAGGATCAATTCTGCATTCATGTCTGCTCTGGTCTATTGCCTTGGTAGATGCAATTTAGAACCACTTTAACAAGTTGCTAAATTAAGTTTCTTTCCTTGAAATGAATAAAACATACTAGAAGTAAATGATTTCATCTGGCATGCTCTCTGGACCAATCTGGGGTTATATTAAGCTATCACTTCGTGACTGTCTTTTGAAAAGTAATGCTGCCAAAGGACCTGTAGTTCCACAAAGATCCACCAGATGGCAGAACAAACACAAAAGCCCCACGGTGGGGGAAAATCCTGATAAAATTATTTGGTTCTAATTATGAAAAGTGTTTCAGAGAGAGAGAGAGAGGAGGAGGAGAGGGAAGGGGGAAAGGGTGAGGAATAAAGACAAACTGAAAAGTGAGGGGAAGGGAAGGATGGGAGAGGAATGGGAAGGGAAAAGCGAAGACCAGTGAGGGAGGGAACATGGTAACTGTCTTCAAGTATATAAGGCGTAAGCACGTAGAAAAGGGATTACATTTGTTCTGCTTGGTCACAGAGAAGGCTAAACTAAGAGCATTTACTATGTGGAAATTGCAAGTCAGATTTCTGACTCATTGTTTGAAAAAAACTTCCTATCAATTAGAGCTCCTCCATAGTGCAATGGCTGCCTCAGGAAGAATGGTGAACTGCTCATTGGGTATGGATGGGGTGAAAGTGATTCTTGTTCAGCTACAAATTTGATGGTCTCTGGGGTTCCTGCCAACTCTCAAAATTTTGTGAAGGAAAGAGAAGTAAAGGGTGGGAGACAAAAACAGTGGAAAGGCATTTTACATTTAACGTAAAAAACATAGGAGCCATAATCTTATTTTATACAATACTTCCATTGAAAAAAGGATTTATTTTACCTTTAAGACTCGTTTCTTGACTTTTTCAATGGCTGTTGAGATTTTGAACACATCTCCTTGTTGATGGGGAGATAGAAGCTGCTCGAAAGTATAGACTGCATTTTCCATGAGCTAGAAATCAAAGCCAACATATGAACAGAGCCAGAGTGACATTACTGATCACAGGTGCTGCTTCTATGTTCTACAACATTCACTTGGAACCCTCCCCCTTCTCCGCTCTCCCCTTTCCACTGTCTAAATCGGGGCAGTTCCTCTAAGCGCTGCTCCAAGGCTGGCCAAGAAGAAGAGCTTCTGGGTATGATGACCTAAAACCCTCTCCATGTGTCTGCCTCCTGAAATAGGTCTCTCAGTGGCCAGGATAAAAACTGTAAGAGGCTGCATTCTCACCTGGGATTTTTTTTCCTGATGTCCTTTCTTTTCTAATTTGAATGGAATCAACAAATCAACAGTCATTTATTGAGTGCCTACTATGTGCCCTGCTTTGTGCTAGGTGCTGGGGATATAAAGACAAAAATGAAACAATCTTTGTTCTCAAGGAGCTTATATTTTTTTTTGAGGCAATCAGGGTTAAGTGACTTGTCCAGTGTCACACAGCTAGTAAGTGTCAAGTATCTGAGGCTGGATTTGAACTCAGGTCCTCCTGACTCTAGCCACCTAGCAGCTTATAATGTAAGGGGTTATTAAAATATTCAGAGACAAGTAAATACAGGATACGTATGAAATAAACACAAAGTGATGGAGGGCACATTACCTGGGGGAATCAGGAAAGGTCTATTGAAGGAAGGGGCAAGCTCCTTGATGGGAGAAGGGAGTATTAAGAGGGAGATGGAGAACATTCTAGTCATGAAGGGGGCATGTAAAGGCATAGAGGTGAGAGATGGATGACATGTCATGTATGGGGAAAAGCAAGTAGGCCAGTTCGGCTGCAATTTAGGATATATGAGGGAGAATAATGTTTAATTAACCTGGAATAACAGGCTGGAGCCAGGTTATGAAGGGCTTTAAATGCTACCAAAAAAAAAAGTTAAGGTTTTATCCTAAAGGCAATGGGGAGCAACTGAAGATTCTTGAGTGGAGTTGTAAAATGTTCAGTCTTGCTCTTTAGGAATATCAATTTGGCAATTTCATGGAGTACAGATTGGAGAGGGGAGAGGTTGGATACAGGAAGACCAATTAGGAGGCTATTGCAGTAGTCTATGTGAGAGGTGATAAAACCTGAAATAGAGGGGCAGCTAGGTGGCACAGTGGATAAAGCACCAGCCCTGAAGTCAGGAGGACCTGAGTTCAAATCCAGCCTCAGACCAAACACTTGACACTTACTAGCTGTGTGACCCTGGGCAAGTCACTTAACCCCAATTGCCTAAAAACAACAACAACAATAACAAACAAACAAAAAAATCTGAAATAGGGTGGCGGCTTTGTGAGGGCACAGAAGAAGATACATATAAAGAGATGTGAAGACAGAAACAACATTTAGTGACACATTGCATGTGTGGGTGAGTGAAAGTGAGGAGTTGATGATGACTGAGTTTGTGAACTGGATGATTAGAAGGATGGTGGTACCATTAGCAGAAAGAGGGGAATTTGGAGCGGGGATGGTTTTGGGGAAAAGATCAGTTCTGTTTTGTACACTTTTAATTTGAGATGGCTATGGGACATCCAGTTCAAAATATGCAGTAGGCAATTTCCCACTCTACCCCTTCCCCACCATGGTTCAAGAGACAGCTAAAGGCTAAATAAGTAGACTTTTTTAAAGTAATTTTTTTGAGGCAATAGGGGTTAGGTGACTTGCTCAGGGTCACACAAGTGGTAAATATCTGAGGTCACATTTGAACTCAGGTCCTCCTGACTCCAGGACCAGTGCTCTAAGCACTGCACCACCTAGCTGCCCCTAGATACATACATCTAGATAGATAAATAAAAGTCATGAGTGGAGAGATTGTAATTAAACCCATGGGAGCTGGTAAGTTGAGATCACCTGGTGAGAGATCTGGAGTAGACCGGAAAGAGAAGGGAAAGTAGGAGAGGAGCCTTGGTGGGACAATCACAGTTATGACTTGGATGATGAGTGAATGAAGAGGACTGAGAAAGAATGTTGACACAGGTTGGAGGAGAACCAGGAGAGAGCAGTGTCATAAAAACCCAGAGAGGAAAGAGACTATGTAGGAGGATCTTATGATCTCTCCTAGCTCCATTTTCTGCATGGGGTGGGAGTGGAAAGATGGCTACACTTCAATTTTTGTTTGTTGAATGGAATTCTATTCAGTTGAATTCTGACAGCTTTAATTCTGCTCTGCTGATTCTTAGTGGGTGAAAAGCACCCAGAATTATTGTTCCTACTTTCCCTTTTTACTATTTCCTTTTCTCTCCAGAATTTTTCACTTCACTTTAGTGGTCAAGGAAGCAGCATCTGGGGTGGTAGTGGTAGAAGCATGCTTTAAAGCGCCTAGCATTGAGCAAAAACCATCTTGGAACCTTCCTTTCTTCCCACCCCTGCCAAACCCCCAATCCTATGGGAAATGTCCTACCAAAGACTAGCTCCTTTAGGACTGGGAATATTTCTTCTCTGTTTGGTATCTTGATCTGCTACCCTTTCCACCGTCCCTGCCTCTCCCAAGGGAATACCCTTATTTCACCCACTTCTTGCATGTAGTTTTGGGTCCTCTGTACCACCAAGTCAATGTGGGGGAACTTGAAGCGGCTCTTGAGGTCTTGGAGTTGTTCTTGGAGTAGGTTGACTTTCAAGTAACAAGGTTCCATCTTCACTGAGTTCAGTGGAAGATTCCTCAGCTGGTCCAAGTGCTATAATTTGATGAAAAAACATAATAATCTTGAGGGAGAAGAGACTGATTTCAAAGAATGCATCCTAAATTCTCAAGGATTCTGTGCATGAGTGTGTTTCTAAAGATAAGAAACCTATGTCTACGAAATCTACAACTTGCTATATTTTTCTGCTCTGTTGATTCATAGTGGATGAAAAGCACCCAGAATCATTGCTCCTGCTTTCCCTTCTTACTATGTCTTCTTCTCTCCAGAATTTTTTGCCTTTCTTTAGTGGGTAAGGAAGCAAGACCTGGGATGGCTGTTGTTCTTGGTATTAGGATAATCCTACTGGTAGAGGAGGTACAGAGCTGTGGAGAAATTCCAGTTCTACCTACTCCCTATGGAACTTCAGGAAAATGCAGGTTGTAGAATTCCAAAGTTAGAAGGGGCATCAGAATTCTACCAGGCCAACCAATACCTGAACAGGAATGCTATCAATGGTATCACTTAGCCTGCATCTGAAAATTTCCACCAATAAAGAATTCACTACCTCTTGAGGCAATCCATTCTACTTTGGGATGGCTCTAATTGTCAGAAAGTTTCTCCTTACCTTGAGCCTAACAGTGATTTCTGGCAAAATTCATTGTAAAAGGGATGAGTTGAAACACTTTGAAAGGGAAGCAATGATGGTGCCATGCTTTCATCAAGAACAACTCAAACCAGACTAACTTTTTTTAAAGGACTATTAGACCAAAAGATCAAGAGAATGACATAGACATAATATTCCTGGACTTATGTCTCTTATAGTGTTCTTTTATTAAAAAAAAATGAAGAGATGTGGGCCAAATGATTGTACAGTTAGGTAAATTTGGATTTGCCTGGATGATTGGATCCAAAGAATTGTGATTGATAGATTGATATCCCCTGGAGGGAAGCCTCTGAAAGGATAGCACAGAAATCTGACCTGTTAACATTTGTTATCATAAAGAGACTGTTGTCATTTTACTAAGACATGGAGAGAATTTTAGGGGATTCAATTAATCAAGAATGATGGCAGATTCTCAAGTGTAAGTTACAGTGAAAATCATTATCCCAAACTTTCTCATTGCTCTAGCTATACAGTGTTATCCATTAAAAAAAAATCAAATAGAGCTCTGCCAATATGAAGAGTCCTCAAATAGCCACATGATCCCATCTGCAATTGGCAGTTCCACTTCATTTCTTTACCTCCTTCAGCTGAGCAGGATCTTTGTTGGTCTGAAAACTTTGGCTGATTTCATTCACCTCTTTTTCAAAAAGGGCCCGGACTTCACTGAACCCAGAACTCACTGGCCCCATGAGTTCCTCCAAGATGGAAGACAGGAATGGTTGTACACTCTCTGCACAAGTTCGTCCGGCAGGTTCAGCCACCATCACTGAGGTAGGAAACAAAGAGTCATGAGTTTGGGGTAGCTGTAGAAATGGCTGCAGAAGGGTCAGAAGTCAAGTCAGACTAGCAGCTGACAAGGTACTCCAAGGGCTCTCCTGGGCTTCCTGACAGCCCTCCACTGCCATGCCAACCCAGCTTGGCATTTACTGTGCCCTGTTTTACTCTCAAATGATCACTGTCATATATAGCTATTGTCTCACTGTATCTGACTATTTTCCAAAGTCCCTTCTCTCCCCAAGATTTCTTTTGCTCTGGGATAGAAACACATTTCTTCTATTTCTTACAAATATGCAAAGAAGGTGACATATATCTGATACAAAAGGAGAAAATTCTGGTACCTCACACTTCTGGATATTTCATTGTACTTTCAAATACATTTATATAATATAGGAAAATACTGGGAAAGGCAGTGAGGTACAGTGGATAGAGAACCCCAGAGTCAAGAAGACCTGAGTTCAAGTCCCACCTCTGACAATATTGGCTTGTGTGATCCTGGGAAAATCACAGAACCTGTCAATATTCCAGACAACTCTCTAATCCATTAAGTTGCAGAATGGAGACTGAGCTACATTGGTAAAGACAGTTTCCTCATGAGGAGTTTACTACCCCCAACACCAATGAAAGTGAAGTTCCATTCCAATAAATATATACGTGAATGCACACATACATATACACATATTGTATGTGTGTGTGTGTGTCTGTATATATACATATACATATATATATATATATATATATATATATATATATATATATATATATATATATATATACACATATATACACATATACATATATACGTATATATAGTTCCAGGTATATAATACTGTATTTACTTATAAAATGAAGGGGTTACTTCTAGCACTATATAGTATGATCTGCTTCCTCCTGAAATTACTTTGTATAGATTACTATCTGCATTTCTTTGCTTACCTGTTGCATCCTCCCAGTAGAATATAAGTTTTTTGAGAGCAGAGCATGTTTTGTTTTTTGTCTTTTTTGTCTTTCCCCAATTTCTAGGACAGAACTTTGCACATTATTCCTCCACAAATATATGGGAAAGACTTAGAATTTTCTTTGGTCAATAAAATGATTGTTTCATAAAGTTTTTTCTAAAGAAAAAAACTATGAATATAATTTGAATCACTGGGTAGCTATTAAGCCACAAAACAATTTGCCATGGAAATAAAAGAGAATGATAACATTCACAATAGTAATTCTAACAAGCATGTTATTAAAATGATAGAACAATCATGAAAGGTAGTCCTGAAAAAGAAAGGCACAACAATATCCTGAGCCTCTACAATAGCCTCCAACCTGCTGGTCAAGCCAGGGGGTGGAGGGGCAGAGGGAGGGGCAGAGGGAGGTATAAAGTGGACAGAGGTGGAGAACGGTAATGATGAAGAATTCAAAATTTCTCCCCTGCCATAGTCAGATCTGACTCCAACTTACAATTTTAGCCTTATCTCCAACTACACCCCTGCACATGACCTAAGTTCCAGCCAAATTGGACTGTTTGCCATTAACTCAACAGGCTCTGTATTTTCCCAACTCTTTGTCTTGGCTCAAGCTATTCTGTATATTAGGCCATCACCTCCCAGCTATCTCTATTCACATCCTTCCAAGCTGGCTCACATTCTGTCTCCTTCATGAAGTCATCCCAAATCTCCCCAGCTGGGAGGGAGCTCTCCTCACTCCCGATTACTTTCGTGTTTTGTTGGTGCCTTTTTAATTACACTTAGAATGATACAATAAGCATCGATTGGGTGCTTTGTAGATGCAGAGCACTGGGCTAGGGGATGTGGGGAGATACACATTTTAGACAAGAAGCCCCCACTTTCATTAAACTTATAGTCTAGGAAGGAGATAAGCTACCAAACCAGGCAATTATAAAACATAGTATGTGACAGGTGCATTGGAGAGTTACAGGACCAGTGGTGCATCTGAAGGAGGTTTTTCATTGACCAGAGTTCAAGGAAAACTTCTTGAAGGAGGAGGCATTTGAATTGGACTTTAAAGAATGAATAGGAATTCAATAAGTGAAGAGAGAGAGTATTTTTGACACAGGAAACAGGGCTAGGGAAGGCACAGAGAGGTAAGTGAAGGTAACATGCTCAGGGTCAAAGAGTAATCTGATTTAATTGAACCAAAGTTTTAAAGGGGAATAATATGAAAAAAGGCTGGGAAGGTAGAGCAGAAACTCCCTTTTAGATTGGGTAAGGCCTTGAATGCCAGGCACAGGAGATTTAAACATTATTTGTCAGGCAATAGTAGCTACAGAAAAATTTTGAGCTTAGCAATGAAACAAAAAGACCCACGTGTAAGAAAGGACATTCTGACAAAAGTATGAAGTATAGATTGAGGAGGGGAGTGAGCAGTGGTAGAATACCCATAAGGAGACTATTGCAGTATAGGCCAGGTGGGTGATAATGAGGGCTTACGCCAAGGCAGTGGCAGTTGCGATAGAAAACGTGAGTTTGAGAGGTATTATAGGCATACAATTGTTCTAAGACAAGCAAAGCAAATCTAATCTCATTTCTGTATGATAACTTTTAAGATCTTTCCATTCCATTTTATTTAACAAAAACGTATAATATATTCTACTATGTACAAGACCAAGTAATAAGAGACACAAAGACAAAATAAAATAGTCCCTGACCTCAGGGAGGTTACATTCTGCTGGGGGCATACAACATATACATAGATAAATCAATATAAGGTAATTTCCAAAGGGAAAGTATGTGAAAGCGGAGACATCAGTGAGAGCTTCATGAAAGAGGTGACATTTGAGCCTTGAAGGATTGTAAGAGGTAGAAATGACAAAGGTTTACATTTGGACACAGCAAGGTAAATAAAGGGGAGTAATATAAATATGAAATAAGGCTGGAAGGGTAGTAAGAGCTGACATGCAAATAGCACCATAGGGCTGCTAGGTGGAGCAGTGGATAGAGTGCCCCCAGGGCCTAGAGTCAGGAAGACCTGAGTTCAAATCCAGCCTCAGACACTTGTTAGCTGTGTGACCCTAGGAAAGTCATTTAACCCTATTTGCTTCAGTTCCTCATCTGTAAAATGAGTCAGAGAAGGAAATGTCAAACCACTCCAGTATCTTTGCCAAGAAGACTCCAAGTGAAGTCACAAAGAGTTGGAAATGATTGAAATGAATAAATAACAACAAATAGCACCATTAGTTACACAAAGCACTCTACATACATTGCCTTATTTGGTCCTTATGTAAGAGAGTGCAGCCAAAGCTGCGAGGTGGCACCATAGTGTGCACAGCACCAGGCCTAGAGCTAGGAAGAAATGGTTTTAAATCCAGCTTGAGACACTCACTGTGTGACCTTCAGCAAGTTGTGTAACCTCTGTTTGCCTCTGTTTCTTCAACTATAAAATGGGGCATCTACATCCCAGGGTTGTAGTTAGGATAAAATGACATAATATTTGTAAAGTGGTTAACACAATACCTGGCACATAGGAAGAGCTATATAAACGCTAGTCCTTATTATTATTATTACACATAGTTTGGCTAGTGGAAAGGGGCAGAAAGAAGGAAATTTATGAGATAGGAAAAGGCAGCCCAACAATGAAAAAAATACTCATCAGGGTGAAGATGACTGAAATGTCCAGTTTCCCAGCATCTAATTTGCATATAAAAGGATTAGAGAATAGAACTTGAAGAGACAGAGGCAAGAAGGATAAGGTAGTTGGCAAGACAAGGCAAAGAAAGTAGGAAAAGGAAAGTGAAAAAATTAATTTATGGAAATTGGTAGGGCAATATGGTCAAATTGATGAAACAGACAAGATTGGTGCAAAGCTGAAGGGAAGATGGATATGGCTGGGGCTCTGGCTATGGGTGGAGTTGCTGAAACAAATGAAAGGAATTTGGGTGAAGTTGCTATAAAAAGTTTTAACTAGGTGCTTAAGCTTGAACACCCACAATTTTAACACATACACGCTCAAGAAACAAAACTGAAGAAGAGGAGGGAAAATTCTGTAGTGACTTATATCAAATACATGATATTTCCATTTCTGCTACAGTCAAGTGGCTATTATCTATGTTACAAGAGTAGGTTTCTCCCTCATGCAGGAGAAGGTAAAGGAGAACCTTTTAAAATGCCTCTTCACACTTCAAGTTGCTAGGGAGAATGAAAGAAATCAGAAATAAGGATTCCATGGGAAAGACAGGTACTTGAGATTGAGGAGGGGAGGCCTGATGCTTGTCAGAATGACAGAAAATGGAAGTGTAGACAAAGGAGAAAGGAAAGGAAAAAGACAGTTGTACAATTAGAGTGAAAAAGAGATTTGAGGCTTATTCTGAAGAGGAAACGGTTAGATGTTAGAAAGCAACTGCTTGTTGCTCCAAGGACGGCGTAGTGGAGAAGCTGTCAGGTGAGAGATTATTTAGTAATGGGTAGAGGAAGAAGAGAAGAGTAGTAGAAGTTGGTAATTCCCTGCTCAGAGGTTTTCAGAAAGGTCTGCTGTTCTCCTCAGGCATGTATCCAACACATGAACTACCCACTCCTGGTGATTCACATGGGCACAAGTGACACTTTCAAGAGGAATGTAAAAAGTATTGCCAATGATTATAAAGTCTTGGGCAAGAAACTGAAGACCATAAGGCTGTGTTTCTCTCACTGCTGCCCATTGAAGGAAAGGAATACAGAAGAGAATAATTAATTTGGGAAGTGAACACCTGACAATGGGATCTGAATTTCTGGATCACAGCTTACAATATAGGGCTGACAGAGTCCTGGCTAGAGGTGGAGTACACCAAAGGTTAATAAGGATGTTTTTTCCTGCTATCTTGAGAAGACTATGTATATACCCCAATAGAAGTATAAGAAGAAAGTATAACAATAAACAGTAGCTGAGAATTTCAGAAATTCATAGGAGATTCACAGGAGAAATTTACAATCTAGAAATTCACAGGAAACAAAAATCCAAAAATAGAACCAGAAGTGAAATCCATGGATACACACACACACACACACACACACACACACACACACAACACACACACACATCCTCCCTCTCCTATCTTTCTAGTCTTCTTATACCTTACTCCGCCCCCTCCCTCAACCAGGTACTCTTAGCTCCAATGACACTGGCTTCCTGTCTGTTCCATGGGCAGATGTGAGAGACACCTCCTCTCTCATCTCTGAGCATTTTCTTTGCCTCTTCCCTGTGCTTGGAATGCTCTCCTTTCTTAGGGAGAAAGAGTCTACTGATTTCTCTTGCTTCCTTTAAGTCCCGACTAAAACCCATCTCTTACTAGAAGCCTTCCCCAAAATTTCTTAATTCTAGTGTCTTCCCATTGTTAACTATGTCCTATTTATCTGGTACATAGCTTGCTTTGTATAAATTTGTTGGCATGTCTGACATATAGCCTAGATTTGGGGAAAGTTGATTTCAAAAACTTCAGAGGACATACAAGAAGGATTCCATTGACTAAAATGTAGGGAAGTCAGCCCAGAAGTGATATGAAATGCTCAAAAATGATATTCTGAACACAGAAAGGGAAACAATTCCAACAAAGAGAAAAATGGGATTTGTCTGAAAAGATTAATGTCAGTGCACAGGGAACATACCAACCAACTTAAGATTTTCACAAGAAACATATAGATAGAGAATTAAGACAAATTTATAAGAAGACAAGCCATTCCCCAATTGATAAATGGTCAAAGGATATGAACAGACGGTTCTCAGATGAAGAAATTAAAGCCATCTATAGTCATATGAAAAAATGCTCTAAATCTTATTGATTAGAGAAATGCAAATCAAAACAACTCTGAGGTACCACATCACACCTATCAGATTGGCCAACATGACAAAACAGGAAAATGATAAATGTTGGAGAAGATGTGGGAAAACTGGAACACTAATACATTGTTGGTGGAGTTGTGAAATGATCCAACCATTTTGGAGAACAATTTGGAACTATGCCCAAAGGGCTATAAAAATGTGCATACCCTTTGATCCAGCAATAGCACTTCTAGGGCTATATCCCAAAGAGATCAAACAAATGGGAAAAGGACCCACATGTACAAAAATATTCATAGCAGCTCTTTTTGTGGTGGCAAAGAATTGGAAATTGAGAGGATGCCCATCAATTGGGGAATGGCTGAGCAAGTTATGGTATATGAATGTAATGGAATACTATTGTGCTATAAGAAATGATGAACAGGCTGACTTCAGAAAAACCTGGAAAGACTTATATGGTCTGATGCTGAGTGAAGTGAGCAGAACCAAGAGGACTTTGTACACAATAACAGCCACATTATGCAATGACTAATATTGTTAAACTGAACCCTTCTCAGCATTACAAGGATCTAAGACATCTCCAGAGGCCTCGGGATGCAAAATGCTGTCCACATCCAAGGAAGGAACTATGGAAGTCCAATTGCTATCACTTATTTTTACCTTCTGTTGAGTTTTGCTTCATCTTTCTGATGGTTCCTCCTATTGGTTTTAACTTTTACTTACAACTTCACTAATGTGAAAATATGTTTAATAGGAATGTAAATGTAAAGCCTATATCATGTGTGCCATCTTGGGGAGGGTGGGAGGGGGGAGGAAGGGGGAGAAAAATTTTCAACTCAAAAGCATATGGAAGTGATTGTTGATAAATAAAATAAATTAATAAAATTAAAAAAAAACAAGAAACATACAGAAAATGGAAGAAAGTCCAGATACCAGAAGATGAATAAAAGAACATGACCTAGTCCTGGAAAAAAAAAGATGACAAAAGGGGGATTTTTAGCTAGATGGGGAAACAAAGGATCAAAAAAGGCATAGCTTTTTGCTTTGGGTTGATAGTATGATGATAACTGACAACACAGAGAAGACATAGATGCTTAATTCTTTATTTTGTTTTAGTTTTCTTTGCAAAACAGAACAGCCTTTACCCTGGAAATGACAGAACAAAAATGACTAACACTGAGTTGATAGCCAAGATGAGTAAAGAGTCAGTGACAGAATACCCAGCTGCCTTTGATGAATTCAAGTCACCTAGCTCAGATGAACTACATTCTCGATTACTGAAAGAACTAGCAGATATGACTGCTAAGCCATTGTCACTGATATTTGAAAGATAGTGGAAAATGGATTATGGTACTAAAAGATTTGAAAAGAGCAAACATTTTTCTGATTTTCGATAACAGGAAGAGAACAGTATGTACAAATTCTAGGTCAGTGAATTTGACTTCTATTTCAGGGATGAATTTTGGAAAGGAGTAAAGATATCATTGCTGAATACTTAGAAACGGATGCAGTGATTACAAATTGCCAGCGTGGCTTCATCAAGAACACATTTCGGACTGAGCCCATCTCCTTTTCTGACAGGATTACTAGGCTATTATCTGGAGGAAATGTTTCAGACATAATTTACCTAGATTTCTAGCAAAGCTTCTGATAAAGTAGTTCATAATATTTTTTGTGGAGATAAGTAGATTAGAGCCTAATCAATCACTTGGACTCAGAACTAGTTGGATGGCTAGACTCAAAGAATAGTTGTTCATGGCTCAATGTCAACATGACAGACAGGAAATCTCTAGTGGAGTGTCTCCGGAATTTGTGGTTAGCCCTGTGTGTTTAACATTTTCATGAATGATTTAGATAAAGACACAGATGGTATGCTCATTAGATTTGCAAATGAAACAAAGCTGAGATGGAGAGCACAATAATGACCAAATCCAGATCCAAAAAGTTCTTAACAAGCTATCAGGGTGGAGAATCTGTGTCTTCAAGGCCATGTATGGCCCTCTAGGTCCTCAAGTTCAGCCCTTTGACTGAACCCAAACTTCACAGAACAAATCTCCTTAATAAAAGGATTTGTTCCGTAGAAGTTGGACTCAGTCAAAAGGCCTCACCCAAGGACCTAGAAGGCCACATATGGCCTCAAGGCTGCAGATTCCTCATCCCTGGTAGATCATTGGGCTGAATCTAATAACATAATATCTAATAAGAATGAATGTAAAATATTACACTTGGGTACAAAAACTGAACTTCACAAGTATAAGATAGACAGCATTCCTTCTAAAAAAAAAGGATTTGAGTATTTTAGTGGACTATAAATTTAATATAAGCAGTGAGGTCAAGTGTCAACAACAACTAATAAAACTTTGGGACTAAGAGGGATCTGGTTTCCAGGAACAGAGAAGAGATAATCCCACTGTACTTTGCCCTTATCAGACCTCAACTGGAGCAATGTATTCATTTTTGGGTATCACAGTTAAAAAAAATGGCATTGACAAACTGGAGTATGTCCACAGGAGGATGGTGAATGGCCATGAGTTCATGATTGGGCATATTTCGCCTAGAGAGGGAAAGAACAACCTTAAAGAAGGAAACAATCCTTAAGTTTCTGAAGGGCTGTCACATAGAGCAGGGATGAGATCCATTCTTTTTGGCCCCAAAGGGCTGAATCAGGAACAAATGGAGGGAGGTGAGAATTTCAAGGAGACAAGTTTAGCCTTCATGTCAATAAGAAGTTTCTAATAATTAGACCACTCCAAAAGTAGGATGGGCTGCTTCAAGGCCTCTTTAAAGGTCTTCAAGAAGAGGCTAGATGGTTATTTGTTGGATATGTTACAGTAGGGATTCCATTTTTTATGGCTTGAACTAGAAAACTGCTGAAATCCCTTCTAGCTCTCAAATTCTATGATTCATAGACTTGGTAATGGTCACACAGTTAGTGTTAGAGGTGAGATTTGAACCCAGGTCTCTGATGACTCTACCTCTAGCACTCTTTTTACAACACAAAGCCACCTCCTAGAACAAGTCAGAGACATCTCAGAGAAATCCTAGAGATAACAGGGAGTCAACCATTGGAGGCTTTTCAGTAGGGAGTGACACGACTGGACCTGAGCCTTAGGAAGATAAATCTGACAGCGGTGGATTGGAGGTTGGGATTGGAGACAGAGAGACTGAATCACAAAATCAGAATGGCATAATCTTAAGAGATGAAAGGAATCTAGGAAGCCACCTAATCCAAGAAGAATGTCGAAGAATCACATTAAGGGCAAAAGTGATTCTTTTCTGGCACTTGCTAAACAGGATGAGAGCTGTCAAACAATTATCACTCCTCCCCCTCCATTGTTTTAATTATTACCCCAAATTATTTATTTTAGGCATACTATAGGATTATAGAAATGGTTTATGACTAGATGCCATAAACACATGTCTGTTTAATAACGTTTCTCCAGAGAACAGCTCTGAAATGAGGCCATAAAGAAGAGAACATCATATCTCTAACCTCTGATTTTTCCAGCTAAGAAGTTCTTTGAGTTCACGATCTGATCCATGTCTGATCGAATGGTCACTTCTAGGCCCTTTGTCAGAGCTCTGCATTCCTCTTTCAAAGCACTTAATCCTTCTGAAACTTGATGCTGGACCAAGTTGTAGGCTTCTTCTAAAATCTACAACAAAGCATAACACAAATTAGTGTTCTGGGCCATACAAACTATTATCTTGACACGCCAAAGAACAGAGATTAGGGTTGTTGATTGGACCATCACAACTTGAATAAACTAACAAAAAAAAAGTCTTGCTTTTCTTTCCAACACACAGTGAGTTTGGTTTTGTCCTTATGCAAGTGAGATGGGCCAGAAGCAAGGAACAGTCCTGAAATACAATTCCCTACCCAGAGTTTTCTCTTTCTTTTTTTTTTAAGCCACCGATTGTGAGAAGGCAGTGCTAATTTTGTTTTACCCACAAGCCAAGAACATTAATAAGGCAAAAGAGTCACTTACACCAAACCAAGCTCTTTTTCTGTCATTCTTCTTTCCTTTCATTTTAGGGAGGAGGTCTGTCTGAAGGGTTGGCAAGAGCTCTTCCATCACTAGGTTGCTCAAGATCTACAGGATCAAAAAAAAAACCATAGATAGCTTCAGCCCTTGGGAGTTCAACTGAATTAGAAAAACATCTGGGGCAGCTAGGTGGCACAATGGATAGAACTCCAGCCTTGGAGTCAGGAGGACCTGAGTTCAAATCCAACCTCAGTTATTAGCTGTGTGAAGCTGGGCAAGTCACTTAACCCCACTGCCTAGCCAAAACAAAACAAAACAGACATTATCAAATGACTTCCATGGTTGGGGAGAGGAAAGAAAAACTTCTGGTTCTCTGCCCTTTCCTTCAATGCCATTTCTTTCAAGTCAGCTGGAACATAGATCTCTTAGCTGGCCTTACCCTGTGCTAACCACAAGAGAAGCAGGCTCTAAAACTATAAGGCATACTGTTGGTACCCACTGAATGAGGAATGGCAAAAAAAAAAGTGGTACATAAATATACTAGAATATATTCCATCACAGAAGTGACAGATATGAAGAAATCAGAGCACAGGAAGATTCAAAAGAATTGATGTAAAACAGAGTAAAAAGAACCAGAAAAACAACATTCAAAATGACAACAGCATAAAAAAAGATCAACCAAATGATACTGAACTCTGCATAACTATAATGACCAAGCCTGACTCTGGGAAAGAGTTGCAAGAAGGTGCCTCCTCTTCATTGCAAGGATAAGGGACTATAGGGATCGAATGTTGTATAGTCAATATATAGGTCAGTGTTGCTAACTTGTTTGTTTTTTTTAAATTTTCTTTTTGTTGCAGAAGATGGCTCACTGGGAAGAGGTGTGAGGAGGAACATATCCAGAGCTGAATGTAATGTAACATAATGAATGTGATGGTGATTCTATCCCTCCTCACGTCTGCCTCAGAATCCCTTGTATTCTTCTTCAAAGATCAGCTCAAATGCTACATCCTACATGAGACCTTCCCTGACATTTCTAGCTGCTGATGTCTCTCCACCAAATTACCTTCTGTTTATCTTGTATCTGTATTATAAAAGCATTCTATGTGTACAGGTTGTATTTGTGTTGCCTTCCCTGGCTGGGTTCAAATTCCACCTCTGACCCATTACTATTGTGTAACATTACCCATGCCATTTAACCTCTTAGGGCCTCAGTTTTCCACATCTGTAAAAATGAGAGATTGGCCTTTGAGGTCCCTCGTAGCTATAGATCTATGATCCCATGATCCCTATAGAATGGAAGCCCCTTTAGGGAACAGACTGTATTATTTAAAAATTTTGTAAACTTCTGTGCATAGCACATAGTAGGCCTATGCTTGTAGGTTGATATAAAAATAAAAGGCATTAATAAAAACTGGTGAGAGCTTCCTATAACTAGCCCAAATCAGAGCCATCATTACGAGGATGTCCACTGTCCTCCAGCTACACTCATGCCACATGCAATGCCATTGCCTGAGCACCACTACTCTGTCTCCATCCAATCCCCTTCATTGTTTGGGCTCTGATGGCTCAGAGTGAGTGTAAATAGCAATTATTTCTGTTTTGGCCAGAAACCCTGAAAGTCTTCCCCTCCCAGATTGATTTTTGTTTTTTGAGTAGGTAACAGAGGTCATTTTTTGCCTCTTTTCTTACCTAGCCTTAATCAGTGAATGGGCATTGCCTCAGACAAACTGAGACCTGGGAAAGATCTTAGCTTAAAAGAGCCAAATTCTCCACTGCAACCTGGGCCATCAGCAGTGGTCCTGATCTATATCTTACCACTAGACCCCAGTGGCTCCAGAGGAGAGAGTGAGGCTGATAACTTTGCACAGCCCTCCCTCACTTAAATCCAATTCACTTGCAATTCAAGACATCACCTCCCTCATGACATGGTCCTCTTGGAGAATGAAGGACACTACAACCTGAAGAGAACATGTCAATCAGTTGTCCTATGGCTCTCCTCACAATCCCATGGATTCTCTAGTCCAATCACCTCTCATCCGCTACTCTTTTAAAAGAGTTGTCTTCCCTTATTGAAATGTAAACTTCTTGAGGGAAGACAATGCTTCCCTTTTTGAATGTGTGTCCCAAGAATTTAGCAAAGTACTTTAAATATAGTAAGCACTTTCAAAAAATGCCTTTTCACTCGTTCAAAAGATAACTTTAACAAAAGAGAAAAGAATCTGTGATCTGGTGAGAAAATGCTATAGGTTTCGATCCTGGATCTGAAGCCATAGAAATCTTGAATTAAGACAACTTGAAAAGCAAAAGATTTTTAAACATCCTGAGTGACAGAAATTCATGAGGATGACGGATATTTTCACATAGAAAAGAGCCAACGATTTACCATACTCAAAAGAGAAGTGCCCTGGCATTTAGAGTAAGAAGGGCCCCAAGAGATCGTTGAGCCCAGCTCCCTTATTTTTTAGGCAGGAAATGAAGGCTCAGAGAGGTTAAAGTCAGCCAACTAACTAGGGGCAGCCCCAGGACCAAACTCAGCCGCTTGACTCCTAAACCAAGAGTGAACTGAGGTGCTGGGAGTGGAGTGAGGAAGCCCTGAGCTCAAATCAGACTCCTTAGACATTTACGAGCTGGGTGACCTTAGGCACGTCACTGAACCCTCTGTGTGCCTCAGTTTCAACTGTAAAATGAGGATCATGAAAGTACCTAGCTCCCAGGGTTGTTGTGAGGAGCAAATGAGAAAATATTTAGGTTAGCCCAGTGCCTGGCACATAGTAGGTACTTAATGTGTGTTCCCTTCTCATTCCCCTACCTTTCCCACTAAGTCACAGTTGCCAAGGTGGCTTAGGTACAGGTGAAAAAGAAACTGATCCTTATGGGCAGGGTTAGATTAGCCCTCCTCAGGCCTTTGTCAGCAGGTTCTTTCCAACGTTTCCTTTAAAAATATGCTACAAGATGTAAGTTAGAGACCTCAGCTTAAAGTGCTATTGGCTTGGAAGCTCTTTGAGGGCAGGAACTGTCTTTTGCCTCTTTTTGTATCCCAGGTACTTAGCACAGTGACTGGCACACAGTAAGCACTTAATAAGTGTTTACTGAGTGAATGAATGAATATTTCCATGTCAATGGGTGGACCATTACAAGTGGAGTTTCTGGCCCTGGAGGAAGGAGAAACAATTAATCAATCGACAGGCACTTATGAAATGTTTACTATGTTTTAGGCATAATGCACAGTGCTAAGTTTCAGGATGGCATAAACACACACACACACACACACACACACATACACACACAGAGTTAAACAGTCCTTGCCCTCCTTAAGGAAGTAACTTTTCTCTAGGAAGGGGCTTATTTTGCCCACCACCATTGGGTAGCTCTAGAGGGAGGCCTGAAGGATTTACAAACCACAGGTTGCAAAAACCCTGGACTCAAGTCTGGAAAAGTAACTTTTCCCCTAATGCACAATAATAATAAATGCACATGCCCAGGGACTAAAATAAATGTAACTCAGACCTGAAAAGGACCTTAAGAGGTCAAGTGACCCTAGTTTCTGTCTTCAGAGTGAGGCTGAGAAAATCAAGCAATGAGACTCATTAAAATCAAACACAAGGCTAGGTCAATCAATCAAAAGAAATGTAATAAGCTTTTCCCTTTCATTTGTTCAATTAATTTAAAAAGCATTTATTAAGGACCTACTGGCACTGCATGCAGAGACAAAAGCTAAAACTATCCTTCAAGGGACTTAGGGTGTCCTGGTAAGAAAGAGTATATACTTGCATAAGTAAATACAAAAGAGATATAATGGAAATGCAGTTATTTTGATGGAGGAAGGTTATTAGCAGCTGAGAACTAAGGCCTAGGAAAAAGTCTCAAGAAGGAAGTGGCAAGTGAGCTAAGCTGTGATGGTAGATTGGAATTCTAAGAAGAGAGGATGAGGAGGGAGGGAGTACATTTTAGTACTGGAATTAAGCCTTGGGCAAAGGCACATAGGCAGACATGGAAAACCATACATGAGTAAAATAGCAAACAGGCTGGAAGTAGAGTGAAGGAAGGGGACACATGGAAAATAAGCTTGTAAAAGGCACTTAAAGCCAGAATGTGAAGAGCTTTAAATTGCAAACAGAGATGGTATTTTTCCCCACAAAGGCAACAGGAAGAGGCTGGAGCTTTTTGAGCAGAGAAGTGATATGGTTTGAACTGTATTTTAGGAATATCAATTTGGAAGCTGAGCGAAGAAAGAATTGGGCAGGGAAGAAACTGGAAGCATGGAGACCAATTAAGAGGCTATTTCAATAGGCCAGGCAAGATGAGGACTGAACCCAGGACAGCAGCCATGTCAGTGGAGAGAAGGGGGGGACACAAAAGAGCATAAGGAGGTGGGCACTGGATATGGGGTGGGGAATGAGAAGGAATAAAGAGTCAAGGATGACTGTGACATTTTAAACCTCAGTGACTGGAAGGATATTGGTGCTCTCAACAGAAATAGGGACATTAGGGAGAGTAGCTGGGGCCAAGGGCACATATAAAGTAATTTCACATGTATATATACCTATTTATGTCAAATGGTAACCATCTCTAGGACGGGGTAATGGGAAGATAGGGGAAAAAAAGAAACAAAAGAAATTTACATGATAATTTTGTTGTATATTTGAAAGGAATAGCAAGTCATGCACAGTAAATTTGCAAATTCACGTACAATCATCTTTTTTTATTGTACTGTGTTATGGAAATGCTTGTTTTATTCCATAAATATGTAATAATGTAAAGAAAAGAGAAAAGAAAAGGAAAAGAAAATAATGAAGTCTGGTTCGAACATGAGTTTGAGATTTCTAGGGGATATCCACTTGGAAACATCCAATAGCAGGTCTGGACTAGAGCATAGGAGAGATACAAGGACTATTACCTTGAAATTATTTTCTCATGGATCAAAGGTAGGGAGAGAGAAGGAGCAGAAAATGGGCACAAGGACTCTGAATAAGTCTCCCACAAATAGATGCTCATTGGCTAATACAGAAATATGTTTTACATGACTTCATATGTATAATGGATATCATATTTCTTGCTTTCTCAGTGAGTGGAGGAAGAGATGAAGGGAGGGAAAGAATTTGCAA